GGACTGCAATGGGGGGTCATTGGGATGGGGTGAAGGGCCCTATAGGGACTGCAATGGGGGGGTTCCATTGGGGGGCATTGGGGTGGGGGGAAGAGCCCCATAGGGACTGCAGTGGGGGGGTTCCATTGGGGGCATTGGGGTGGGGGGAAGAGCCCCATAGGAAAGCCAATGGGGGGGCTATTGGGGGTCATTGGGGTGGGGGGAACAGCCCCACAGGGACTGCAATGGGGGGGTTCCATTGGGGGGCATTGGGGTGGGGGGAAGAGCCCCATAGGGACTGCAATGGGGGGGTTTGGGGGTGCGTTGGGGGTACCCACTGAGGGTTATTGGGGCATCCCATAGGTGTTCTGTGGGTGCTGTATGGGGCAGTCCATGGGTGCTGTGCGGCAGACCATGTGTGCTCTATGGGGCAGTCAGTGGCTACTCTATGGGCGCTATATGGGGCATCCATGGGTGCTATGGAGCAGTCCATGGGTGCTATGGGGCAGTCAGTGGGTGCTCTATGGGGCATCCATGGGTGCTATGGAGCAGTCCATGGGTGCTAAGGGGCAGTTGGTGCTCTATGGGTGCTCTATGGGGCAGTCGGTGCTCTATGGGTGCTCTGTGGGGCAGTTAGTGGGTGCTCTATGGGGCAGTCAGTGGGTGTTCTATGGGTGCTCTATGGGGCAGTGGGTGCTCTATGGGTGCTCTATGGGTGCTCTATGGGGCAGTCAGTGGGTGCTCTATGGGTGCTATGGGGCACCCATGGGTGCTCCATGACCCCCAGCTGACCGCGAGGTCCAGCGCATCCTCCTGGAGCTCCTCAACCAGATGGACGGCTTTGACCAGAACGTCAACGTCAAGGTGGGGCCCATGGGTGCTATGGGGGTCCTATGGGTGCTATGGGGGTCCTAGGGGAGTTCTATGGGTGCTATGGGGGTCCTATGGGAGTTCTATGGGTGCTATGGGGTCCTACAGGAGTCCTATGGTTGTTATGGGGGTTCTATGGGTGCTATGGATCTCTTGTGGGTTTTTTCAGGTCCTGTGGGTCCTATGTCCTATGGGACTCATATGGCTTCTATGAGGTCCTATGGGGTCTGGGAGGCTCTATGGATCTCCTATGGGTTCTATGAGTTCTTTGAGCTCCTATGGATCTTCTGTGGGTCCTCTGGGGTTCCGTGGGTCTCTATGGCTGCTTACGGGTCTCTGTGGGTCCTATGTATTCCATGCATCTTCAATGGGTTTCATGGGTCTCTATGGGTCCTATGGCCCTGTGGGTCTCTATGGGTTCCATGGGTTTCTATGGATCTCTATGGGTCTCTGGTTTCTATGGTCCTATGTATTCCATGCATCTTCAATGGGTTCCATGGGTCTCCTATGGGTCTCTATGGGTTCCATGGGTCTCTATGGGTCCTATGGCCCTGTGGATCTCTATGGGTCGCCAGTGGTTCCCTATGGGTCCCCCCCGCAGGTGATCATGGCCACGAACCGCGCGGACACCCTGGACCCGGCGCTGCTGCGCCCGGGCCGCCTGGACCGCAAGATCGAGTTCCCGCTGCCCGACCGGCGCCAGAAGCGCCTCATCTTCTCCACCATCACCGGCAAGATGAACCTCTCCGAGGAGGTCGACCTCGAGGACTGTATCCCTTGGCTCCATGGGGCTCCCTTGGCTCCATGGGGCTCCCTTGGCTCCATGGGGCTCCGTTGGGTTGGCTCCATGGGCCTCCATTGGGTTGGCTTCATGGGCCGCCGTTGGGTTGGCTTCATGGGCCTCCATTGGGTTGGCTTCATGGGCCTCCATTGGCTTGGCTTTATGGGCCTCCATTGGGTTGGCTTCATGGGCTGCCGGTGGGTTGGCTTCATGGGCTTCCATTGGCTTGGCTTTATGGGCCTCCATTGGGTTGGCTTCATGGGCCTCCGTTGGGTTGGCTTCATGGGCCGCCGTTGGGTTGGCTTCATGGGCTTCCATTGGCTTGGCTTTATGGGCCTCCATTGGGTTGGCTTCATGGGCCGCCGTTGGGTTGCCTTCATGGGCCGCCATTGGGTTGGCTTCATGGGCTTCCATTGGGTTGGCTTCATGGGCCGCCGTTGGGTTGGCTTCATGGGCCGCTGTTGGGTTGGCTCCATTGGCTGCCGTTGGGTTGAGGTCATGGGCTTCCATTGGGTTGGCTTCATGGGCCTCCGTTGGGTTGGCTTCATGGGATGCCATTGGGTTGGCTTCATGGGCCGCCGTTGGGTTGGCATCATGGGCCTCCGTTGGGTTGGCTTCATGGGATGCCATTGGGTTGGCTTCATGGGCCTCCATTGGGTTGGCTTCATGGGCTTCCATTGGGTTGAGGTCATGGGCTTCCATTGGGTTGGCTTCATGGGCTTCCATTGGGTTGACCTCATGGGCCTCCGTTGGGTTGACCTGATGGCCATGATTGGGTTGACCTCATGGTCTTCCAATGGCTTGACCTTGCTCATCCTTGCTTTGCCCTGATGCTGCACCCATGGCTGCACCCATAGCCCATCCCGGGACATTGGGGTGCCCACGGGGACAGTGGGGTCACCATGGGGGAGATAGTGGGGATACCCGGACCCATGGGGAGACGTTGGGCTTGGGGACCACATGGGGACCCTATGGGGACAATGGGGACCCTATGGGGACAATGGGGATCCTATGGGGACAATGGGGACATGGAGAAGAGGATGTTTCCTTCACCCCCCCCCCAGACGTGGCGCGGCCCGACAAGATCTCCGGCGCCGACATCAACTCCATCTGCCAGGAGGTGGGTGCCACCATGGGGGTGGGGGCACCCATGGGGTGGGGGCAGCGGGTGGCCCACCATTGGGTTGACTTCATGGCCATCAATGGGTCTGTCATCGTTGGGTTGACCCGATGGCCATCAATGGCATCGGTTAATGGCTGTCAATGGGTTGACCTTACGGCCATCGATGGCTTCATGGTCGTCATTGGGTTGACCTGATGGCCATCAATGGGTTGACTTGATGGTCATCAATGGCTTCATGGCCACCATTGGGTTGGCCATTAATGGTCCATCATTGGGTTGACCTAATGGCCATCAATGGCTTCATGGCCATCAATGGCATGGTCCACCATTGGGTAGACCTGATGGCTATCAACAGCATGGCATGGCCACCATTGGGTTGACCTAATGGCCATCAGTGGGTCAACCTGATGGCCACCATTGGGTTGATCTAATGGCCATCAGTGGGTCGACCTAATGGCCATCATTGGGTCAACCTGATGGCCACCGTTGCGTTGACCCAACGGCCAATGGTCCACCATTGGGTTGACCTGATGGCCATCAATGGGTTGCCCCAATGCCCGCCTTTGCTGTGGGGTTGCCCCGGCTGCCCCAATGCCCCCGTCCCCATAGCCTGTGGGTGCTGTGGGACGCTATGGGGTGCTCTTGCCCCACAGGGGGGCATGCTGGCCGTGCGGGAGAACCGGTACATCGTGCTGGCCAAGGACTTCGAGAAGGCCTACAAGACCGTCATCAAGAAGGACGAGCAGGAGCACGAGTTCTACAAGTGACCCCCAATAAAGCGCCCGGCGCCCCACAGCGGCTCGCTTGGGGGGGCTGTGGGGTGGGGGGAGCCATGGGGGGCGTCGTTGGGGCCATGGGGACCTCAATGGGGCATCAGTGGGGCCTTGGGGACCCCATTGGGGCATCAGTGGGGCCATGGGGACCTCAATGGGGCATCAGTGGGGCCATGGGGACCTCAATGGGGCATCAGTGGGGCCATGGGGACCCCATTGGGGCATCAGTGGGGCCATGGGGACTTCAATGGGGCATCAGTGGGGCAATGGGGACCCCATTGGGGCATTGTTGGGGCCGTGGGGACCTCAATGGGGCATCAGTGGGGCAATGGGGACCCCAGTGGGGCCATGGGGACCTCAAGGGGGCATCAGTGGGGCCATGGAGATGGCCATGGGGAGCCATTGGGGGACACTGGGGTGATGCTGGGGTGCATTGGGGCCATACTGGGATGCACTGGGGTCATACTGGGATGCACTGGGGCGATACTGGGATGAACTGGGATGCATTTAGGAGCTATTGGGATGCACTGGGGTCATACTGGAATGCATTGGGATGCACTGGTGCGATACTGGGATGAACTGGGATGCATTTAGGGGCTACTGGGGGCTATTGGGATGCACTGGGGTCATACTGGGATCTATTTAGGGGCTATTGGGATTCACTGGTGCGATACTGGGATGAACTGGGATGCATTTAGGGGCAACTGGGGGCTATTGGGATGCACTGGGGTCATACTGGGGTGTATTGGGGTGATACTGGGATGCATTTAGGAGCTATTGGGATGCACTGGGGTGATACTGGGACGAGTTTAGGGGCTATTGGGATGAACTGGGATCATACTGGGATGCACTGGAGTCATACTGGGGTGCATTGGGGTGAACTGGGATCATACTGGGATGCATTTAGGAGCTACTGGGATGCACTGGGGTCATACTGGGATGCATTGGGATGCACTGGTGTCATACTGGGATCACACTGGGATCATACTGGGGTGCACTGGGATCATACTGGGATACACTGGTGCCGTACTGGGATACATTGGGATGCACTGGTGCCGTACTGGGATACATTGGGATGCATTCAAGACCTAACGGGGGGGGGGGCCATACCGACAAAGGGGGCGGAGCTTCCACCTCTGGCCCCGCCCCTCATTGCGTCACCGCCTCCGTCCGTCCCCTTCCCCCGGGCGCCGCAGTGCGCCGGGGCCGAACGGTCCCGAACGCGTCCGAACGGTCCCGAACGCGTCCGAACGGCTCCGAACGGACCCGACCCCCCCGAGCGGGTCCGGCCATGCCTTGAAGCGGCTCCTCCGTCCCTTCCCCCCCCCCCGTTCCTTGTCCTTATCCCGTTCCTGACCGTTCCGTCCCGTTCCTGACCGTTCCCGACCGTTCCCCCCTCCGGAAACGCCCGAAGCGGACCCGAAAGGTTCCGAACGGAGCCGAAGCGGACCCGAACCCGAAGCCGAACCCGAGCCGGCCGCCGCCATGTTGGAGCCCGGCCTCCCGCTCCTCCTCCTCGGCCTCCTCATGGGTGAGCCCCCCCCAATGTCACCCCTATAGCACCCTATAGTTCCCTATAGCACCTTATGGCACCCCTATAGCACCCTATAGCTCCCTATAGCACCCTATGGCACCCCTATGGCACCCTATAGCACCCTATGGCATCCTGTAGCTCCCTATAGAACCCTATGGCACCCTATAGCTCCTTATAGCACCCCTATAGCCCCCCTGTAGCACCCCTATAGCACCCTATGGCACCCTGTAGCTCCCTTTAGAACCCTATGGCACCCTATAGGTCCCTATAGCACCCCTATAGCACCCTATGGCACCCTATGGCTCCCTATAGCACCCTATAGCGCCCTATAGCACCCTATAGCACCCTATGGCACCCTATAGCACCCCTATAGCACCCTATGGCACCCTATAGCACCCTATAGCACCCTATGGCTCCCTATGGCACCCTATAGCACCCTGTAGCACCACTATAGCACCCTATGGCACCCTATAGTCCCCCTATAGCACATCTATAGCCCCCCTATAGCACTCTGTAGCACCCCTATAGCACCCTATAGTCCAATAGCACCTCTATGGCACCCCTGTAGCACCTCTATAGCCCCCCATAGCCCCCCTATAGCGTCCTATAGGGTTCTATGGGGCTGGGACCCCCCCCCCATAGGGTCCCATTGTGGCCTCCAGCACCTGCGCAGTGCCCCCCCCCTCTCCATGAAGGTGTCACATGACTGTGCTGCAGTGACCTCTGTGACTCCATTGGGAGCCATTGATACCTATTGGCACCCATTGATACCCTGTTGGCACCCATTGATCACCCATTGGCACCCATTGACACCCATTGGCACCCATTGATACCCCATTGGCACCCATTGATCACCCATTGGCACCCCACTGATCACCCATTGGCACCCCACTGATCACCCATTGGCACCCCATTGATCGCCCATTGGCACCCCATTGATCACCCATTGACACCCCATTGATCACCCATTGGCACCACTGTATCTCTATGTTCCCTATGGATCCCCCCCATTAGGGGCCGGTTTTGGGGTATTTTGGGCTGGTTTTCGGTCTTTGACAGCATTAGCCGTTTCGGGCCCGTTTGGGGTGGTTTTTCCCAGTTTTCACCCTTTTTTCCCCATTTTCTCCCCATTTTTCCCCGTTTTCACCTCTTTTTCCCCATTTTCCCCCATTTCCTCACCATTTTTCCCCATTTTCCCCACCATTTTTCCCCGTTTTCACCTCTTTTTCCCCATTTTCCCCCATTTCCTCACCATTTTTCTCCCCATTTCCTCACTGTTTCTCCCCGTTTTCACCCATTTTCCCCCCATTTCCTCACCGTTCTGCCCCGTTTTTCCCCGTTTTCACCCGTTTTTCCCCATTTTTCCCCATTTTTCCCCATTCCCTCACCGTTCTGCCCTGTTTTTCCCTGTTTTCACCCGTTTTTCCCCATTTCTCCCTGTTTTCACCTGTTTTCCCCCATTTTTCCCCGTTTCCCCCCATTTTCTCACTATTTTCCCCATTTCCCCCCTTTCCCCATTTCCTCCCTGTTTCTCCCCGTTTTCACCCATTTTTCCCCCATTTCCTCACCGTTTTTCCCCATTTTCACCCGGTTTTCCCCCATTTTTCTCCATTTCCCCCATTTCCCCCCCATTTCCCCCCCATTCCCCCCCATTCCCCCCCATCCCCCCCATTCCCCCCATTCCCCCCATTTTCCCCCCTTTTTCCCCCCATTTCCCCCCATTTCCCCCCCATTTCCCCCCATTCCCCCCATTTCCCCCCCATTTCCCCCCCCATTCCCCCCCATTCCCCCCATCGCCCCCATTCCCCCCATTCCCCCCATTCCCCCCCATTCCCCCCATTCCCCCCTCATCCCCCCATCCCCCCATCCCCCCCCATCCCCCCCATTCCCCCCCCCCCCATCCCCCCCATCCCCCCCATCCCCCCCATCCCCCCCATCCCCCCCATCCCCCCCATTCCCCCCATTCCCCCCATTCCCCCATTCCCCCGTTCCCGGTCGCGCCGCTGCCAGGCGGGCGGGCGCAGGGCGGCTGCGTGGAGGTGGCGTCGGGCAGCGAGGCCGTGCTGGGGCTCCCCTTCCGCCTCCTGTGCATCGCCTGCAAGCGCCGCAGCGAGACCCCCGCCGAGGCCAGCGCGGAGTGGTTCTTCCGAGGGGAGGGGGAGGCCGCATTCCATAAGGTGCCGGGGGGCGACGGGGGCGATGGGGTGGGATGGGGTGGGATGGGTTGGGATGGGATGGGTTGGGTTGGGTTGGGATGGATGGGATGGGTTGGGTTGGGTTGGGATGGGTTGGGTTGGGTTGGGATGGATGGGATGGGTTGGGATGGGTTGGGATGGGGTGGGTTGGGGTGGGATGGGATGGGTTGGGTTGGGATGGGATGGGTTGGGGTGGGATGGGTTGGGGTGGGATGGGATGGGTTGGGATGGGTTGGGATGGGGTGGGTTGGGTTGGGTTGGGTTGGGATGGGATGGGATGGGTTGGGATGGGATAGATTGGAATGGGGTAGGTGGGGTGGGATGGGATGGGTTGGATTGGGGTGGGATGGGGTGGGTTGGGATGGGTTGGGTTGGGATGGGTTGGGATGGGATGGGGTGGGATGGGATGGGGTGGGATGGGTTGGGTTGGGGTGGGTTGGGATGGGTTGGGGTGGGGTGGGATGGGTTGGGATGGGATGGGATGGGTTGGGATGGGATGGGACGGGACGGGACGGGACAGGATGGATGCGATGGGATGGGATGGGATGGGTTGGGATGGGACGGGATTGGGATGGGTTGGGATGGATGGGGTGGGATGGGTTGGGTTGGGATGGGTTGGGATGGGGTGGGATGGGATGGGGTGGGATGGGTTGGGTTGGGGTGGGTTGGGATGAGTTGGGGTGGGGTGGGATGGGTTGGGATGGGTTGGGATGGGATGGGTTGGGATGGGTTGGGTTGGGATGGGTTGGGATGGATGGGATGGGTTGGGATGGGATGGGTTGGGATGAGATGGGTTGGGTTGGGATGGGTTGGGATGGGTTGGGATGGGGTGGGATGGGGTGGGGTGGGTTGGGATGGGATGGGATGGGGTGGGATGGGTTGGGATGGGTTGGGATGGGATGGGTTGGGATGGGTTGGGATGGGTTGGGATGGGATGGGATGGGTTGGGATGGGGTGGGGTGGGATGGGATGGGTTGGGATGGAGTGGAATAGATTGAAATGGAGATGGGATGGGTTGGTATGAGATTGGGATGGAGTGGGATGGGAATGGGATGAGTTGAGATAAGACTTGGATGGGATTGGTTGCCGTGGGTTTGGGATGGATTGGGATGGGAATGGGATGGAATGGGATGCGTTTGGATGAGACTGGGATGGAGTGGGATGGATCGGGATGGGAATGGGATGGACTGGCATTGTACTGGGAACCACTGGGAGGCACTGGGGTCATACTGGGCGCGAGTGGAATCCTACTGGGACCTATTGGGAGCCGCTGGGGTCATTCTGAGCTCATCCTGGGAGGCACTGGGGTCATAGTGGGAGTTACTGGGCCCATGCTGGGTCCGCCCCCCCCAGATCCTGGAGTACAGCCCCGAGGAGCCGCCGTGGGTGGCGCCGGGCCCCTTCCTGGGGGTGCTGTCGTGGAACGGCTCCCGGGGCACGCGGGACCTGCAGGACCTCTCGGTGCGGCTCGAGGCCGTGGGGCGGCCCCACGGCGGCCACTACGTCTGCCGCCTGCGCCGCAACCTCACCTTCGAGGGCTACGTCTACAGCCTGGCGCGCAACCAGACCCTGCGCCTCGCCGTGGTGGAGCGCGGTACTGCGGGGGGTCAAGGGGGAGCAGTGGGGGGCAATGGGGGTCAGTGGGGGTCAATGGGGGTCAATGGGACTCAATGGCGGTCAGTGGGTGTCAATGGGGTTCAATGGGGATCAATGGGGATCAATGGGACTCAATGGGGGTCAATGGGTGTCAATGGGACTCAATGGGGGTCAATGGGACTCGATATCAGTGGGACTCAGTGGCTGTCAATGGGATTCAATGGGGGTCGATGGGACTCAGTGGTGGTCAATGGAGGTCAATGGGGGTCAATGTGACTCAATGGGGGTCAATGGGGGTCAATGGGACTCAGTGGTGGTCAATGGAGGTCAATGGGTGTCAATGGGACTCAATGGGTGTCAATGGGACTCAACGGGTGTCAATGGGACTCAATGGGTGTCAATGGGACTCAACGGGTGTCAATGGGACTCAATGGGAGTCAATGGGTGTCAGTGGGACTCAATGGGTGTCAATGGGAGGAGTCAATGAGGCTCAATGGGGCTCAATGGGAGGAGTCAATGGGTGTCAATGGGAGGAGTCAATGGGGCTCAATGGGGCTCAATGGGGATCTATGGGTCTCAATGGGGCGGATGTGCAGCGCGCCGGGACCTGGCGTCCATCGTGTCCGAGGTGCTCATGTACGTGCTCATCGTGGGGGTTCCATGGGACTCAATGGGAGGAGTCAATGGGGCTCAATGGGAGGAGTCAATGGGGATCTATGGGGCTCAATGGGGCGGATGTGCAGCGCGCCGGGACCTGGCGTCCATCGTGTCCGAGGTGCTCATGTACGTGCTCATCGTGGGGGGTCCATGGGAGTCAATGGGGCTCAATGGGGCTCAATGGGAGGAGTCAATGGGGCTCAATGGGAGGAGTCAATGGGGCTCGATGGGAGGAGTCAATGGGGCTCGATGGGAGGAGTCAATGGGGATCTATGGGTCTCAATGGGGCGGATGTGCAGCGCGCCGGGACCTGGCGTCCATCGTGTCCGAGGTGCTCATGTACGTGCTCATCGTGGGGGGTCCATGGGACTCAATGGGGCTCAATGGGAGGAGTCAATGGGGCTCAATGGGAGGAGTCAATGGGGATCTATGGGTCTCAATGGGGCGGATGTGCAGCGCGCCGGGACCTGGCGTCCATCGTGTCCGAGGTGCTCATGTACGTGCTCATCGTGGGGGATCCATGGGAGTCAATGGGGATCAATGGGGCTCAATGGGAGGAGTCAATGGGGCTCGATGGGAGGAGTCAATGGGGCTCGATGGGAGGAGTCAATGGGGATCTATGGGTCTCAATGGGGCGGATGTGCAGCGCGCCGGGACCTGGCGTCCATCGTGTCCGAGGTGCTCATGTACGTGCTCATCGTGGTGCTCACGCTGTGGTTGGCCGCAGAGATGCTCTACTGCTACCGCAAGGTGGCGGCAGCAGCCCCGCCCCCCGACAGCGCGTGCGTCACCCGGGGGGGCGGGGCCAAAGGGGGGGGAAGGGGCGGGGCTAAAGGGGGGGAAGGGAGAAAGGGGTAGGGTCAATGGGAAATGGGGTGTAATCAGTGGGAAAGGGGCTGAGCCGATGGGAAAGGGGGCGTGGTTAAGGGGGGAAGGGGTGGGGCTAAAGGGGGGAGGGGATAAAGGTGGAAAGGGGCGGGGCTAAAGGGAAAGGGGCAGGGCTAAAGGGGTAGGGCCAATAGGAAATGGGTGTAATCAATGGGTAGGGGGCGTGGTTTAAGGGGATTGGGGCGGGGCTAAAGGATGAAGGGGTGGGGTCAATGGGAAAGGGGCGTGGCTAAAGGGTGAAGGGGAGGGGCTAAATGGGTAGGGTCAATGGGAATGGGGGTGAAATCAATGGGGGCTGAGCCAAGGGGAAAGGAGGCGGGGCTAAATGGGGTAGGGGTGGGGCTAAGGGGGGAAAGGGGGTGGGCCTAAAGGGGGAAAGGGGAGGGGCTAAAGGGGATTGGGGTAGGGTCAATGGGAAAGGGGTGCTGTTGGGTGCTATGGGGTGCTATGGGGTTCTATAGGGTGCTATGGGGGTCAATAGGGTTCTATGGGGTGCTATGGGAGTCTATAGGGTGCTATGGGGGTCTGTAGGGTGCTATGGGGGTCAATAGGGTGCTATGGGGTTCTATGGGGTGCTATGGGAGTCTATAGGGTGCTATGGGGGTCTATAGGGTGCTATGGGGTGCTATAGGGTGCTATGGGGTGCTATAGGCTCCCTGTCCCCCCACAGGTCCGAGTACCTGGCCATCACCTCGGAGAGCAAAGAGAACTGCGCAGGGGTGCAGGTGGCCGAGTAGCACCCATGGGTGCTGCTGCCCCCCCCCCTCCCCCTATAGCACCCATAGCACCCACCCCCCCTTACACAGCGCCCCCCCCTGCAATAACCCCCCCGGGGGGGGCGGCCCGGCCCCCCCCCCCTGCACCCAGCACCATTGCACGGCTCCTATGGAAGGGGTACAGCACCCATGGGTGCTCCTATGGATGGCTGTTGGCACCCATGGGTGCTCCTGTGGATGGCTATTGGCACCTATGGGTGCTCCTATGGATGACTGTTGGCACCTATGGGTGCTCCTGTGGATGGCTGTTGGCACCCATGGGTGCTCCTGTGGATGGCTATTGGCACCTATGGGTGCTCCTGTGGATGGCTATTGGCACCTATGGGTGCTCCTATGGATGACTGTTGGCACCTATGGGTGCTCCTATGGATGGACTCAGCACCCTGTAGAAGGTCCCAGCACCCATGGGTGCTCCTGTGGATGGCTGTTGGCACCCATGGGTGCTCCTATGGAAGGACCCACAACAACCCCCACCCCGCCCCCAGCACTGAGCTGTGCATGCAAATGAGCCAGATGCAAATGAACTTATGCTAATCAGCTCCGCGCTGATTGGCCCTATGCTGATGAGCCGCGCAAGCTGATTGGCCGTATGCAAATGAGCGGGCGGCACACGATGTCTGATCTGCAAATGCACTTTATGCAAATGAAGCCCCCCGCTAGTGACTGTGTGTGTATGCTAATGAAGGTGTGAACATGCTAATGAGAGGGTGAATTATGCAAATGACAGGCAAATTAGGGTTAACGGTGCAATGCGTTGGTTATTAGTTATTTGAATAACTAACCAGATGATATGGTTAGTTATTCAAATGAGTCTCATTAAGGATGCAAAATGTGTGTCATGGAGGGTGTGTGCTAATGAATATGCTAATTACTCATCATGCAGTAGGCATAGGGGATAGTGCTGAGAGAATGCAGTGATTATAGCGTATATGCAAATGAGTCGGTACGGTAATTAGATGATATGCAAATGCGTCCATAAATGGGCAATATGCAAATCAGGCCATGTATTGATTGGGTGGTATGTAAACGACGTGGTATGGTAGCTAATGAGTATGCAAATGAGTGGATATGCTAACAAGGAGATACGCAAATGAAGCAATATAAGCAATGGGTGGCATGCAAATGATGCGGTGTAATTATGACCCATTATGGAAATGAGGGTGTGATAATGCAAATGAAGCTGTCGATATGCAGATGAGCAGTCTTGCTAATCAGGCTGCATGCAAATAAGACTATATGCAAATGAGGCGATGCGGTAATGGGGTTGTATGCAAATGAGGCTCTACACAAATGAGTCTTCAACCCACCAGGCCTGTGAGCTCTATATGCTAATAAGCCCTATATGCTAATGAGTCCTATGCTAATGAACCCCATGCTAATAGGTGTCCTTCTAGGCACCAACCAATCACGTTCCGTTATGCAAATCAGCCCCATGTTAATGAGCTCGATGCAAATGAGACACTTAAGCCCCGCCCACATCCAGGCGGTGGCGGGAAAATGACGCAATAAGGGCGGGAACGGGCGGTGACGTCAGTGATGGGATGGGCGGGTTGTTTGTGGCTTAATGGGGAGGGGATGATGACGTCATTAATGACGTCCGGCCCGACCGGTTTGGGGGCTTCAATGGGTTAATTACGGGGGGGGGGGGGAAGCGTCGGCGGTGACGTCACCCGTTTGGCGCGCAATTACGAGCGTTTTTGGCGCGCCCTGACCTCAATGAGAGGGTTTGGGGGGGGGGGGGGGGGGGCAATGATGGGGTTGGGGGGGGAGGGGCGGGGTTTAAGGGGGCCCCACCCGCGGCTGCAGCCCCAGAACGGAGCCGAACGCGTCCGGAGCAGGCAGGAAACGGGCGGGGGGCGTCTGGGAGCGTTTGGGGGCGTTTGGGGGCGTTTGAGGGCGTTTTGGGGCCGTTTGAAGGCGTTTTGGGGCGTTTGGGTGCATTTGGGGGTGTGTTTGGGGGCGTTTGAGGGCGTTTTGGGGGTAATTGCGGGCGTTTGGGTGCATTTGGGGGTGATGTTTGGGGTAACTAAAGGGGTTTGGGAGCGTTTGGGGCGTTTGATTTTGGGCGTTTTGGGGCGTTTGGGTGCATTTTGGGGGTGATGTTTGGGGCCGTTTGAAGGCGTTTTGGGGGTAATTGCGGGCGTTTGGGGGCGGTTCGGTGCATTTGGGGGTGATGTTTGGGGTAACTAAAGGGGTTTGGGAGCGTTTTGGGGCGTTTGAGGGCGTTTTGGGGCATTTTGGGGCCGTTTGAAGGCGTTTTGGGGGTAATTGCGGGCGTTTGGGTGCATTTGGGGGTGATGTTTGGGGTAACTAAAGGGGTTTGGGAGCATTTTGGGGCGTTTGAAGGCGTTTTGGGGCATTTGGGAGCGTTTTGGGGCGTTTGAGGGCGTTTTGGGGCATTTTGGGGCCGTTTGAAGGCGTTTTGGGGGTAATTGCGGGCATTTGGGGGCGGTTCGGTGCATTTGGGGGTGATGTTTGGGGTAACTAAAGGGGTTTGGGGGGGGTTGGGGGCGTTTTGGGGGTAATTACGGGCGGTTTGGGGCGTTTGCGGGTGTTTTGGAGGCGTTTGGGGTCAATTTTGGGGTAACTAAAGGGGTTTGGGGGTGTTTTGGGGGCTTTGGGGGGTTACTAAAGTCGTTTGGGGGTGTTTTGAGGGAGTTTGGGGGTGTTTCAAAGGTAACTAAAGGCGTTTGGGGAAGATTGAGGGCGTTTTAGGGCGTTTTGGGGATAACAAGGCGTTTGGGGGCGTTTTGGGGGTAATTAAAGGTGTTTGTGGTGTTTTAGGGCGTTTTGGGGGTAACTAAAGGCGTTTGGGGGCGTTTTGGGGGTAATTAAAGGTGTTTGGGGGCGTTTTGGGGGTAATTAAAGGTGTTTGTGGTGTTTTGGGGCGTTTGGGGGTGTTTTGAGGTGGTTTTCAGGGTGTTTGAGGGCGTTTTGGGGTGATTGGGGGGTAAGTGCAGGCGTTTGGGGGTGTTTGGAAGCGTTTTGGGGGTAACTAAAGGCGTTTGGGGGCGTTTGGGTGGCTTTGAGGGTGTTTGGGTGCGTTTTGGGGTGATTGGGGGGTAACCAAAGGCGTTTTGGGGTGTTTGGAAGCGTTTTGGGGGTAACTAAAGGCGTTTGGGGGCGTTTGGGTGGCTTTGAGGGTGTTTGGGTGCGTTTTGGGGTCATCGGGGGTAGCTACAGGCGGTTTGGGGTGGGTTGGGTGAATTTGGGGGGCATTGGGGATAACTAAAGGCGTTTGAGAGGGGTTTCGAGGGCTTTTAGGGCGGTTTTGAGGGCGTTGAGGGCATTTGGGTCACTTGAGGGGGTTTTGGGGACACTCGGGGTGAATTGGGGTGGTTTGGGGGCAGTTTGGGGCGTTTCAGGGGTGTTTTGGTATGTTTTGGGGTGGTTTGGGGTGGTTTAGGGGTATTTTGGGGTGGTTTAAGGTATTTGAGGGGTGGTTTAGAGGTATTTTGGGGTGTTTTGCCGTGGTTTAGTGTATTTTGGGGGTGTTTTAAGTATATTTTGGGGGGTTTAGGGGTATTTTGGGGTGTGTTGGTGCTTTTGCGGTGTTTGGGGTGTTTTAAGGGTATTATGGGGTGTTTGGGGGCTATTTTGGGGGGTTTAGGGGTGCTTGGGTGCTGTTTTGGGGGTGTTTTAAGGGTATTTTGGGGTGTTTTGGGGGTGTTTTGGGGTTATTGGGGTGTTTTGGCGGTTTGGGGGTGTTTTAAGGATATTTAGGGGTGTTTTGGGGCTATTTTTGGTGTTTTGGGGTGTTTTAAGGGGGTTTTGGGTGTTTTGGGGTTATTTTGGGGGTATAGGGGTATTTTTGGGTGTTTTGGGGTGTTTTAACGGTATTTAGGGGTGGTTTGGGGCTATTTTGGGGTGTTTTAAGGGTATTTTTGGGTGGTTTGGGGCTATTTGGGGGTGTTTTAAGGGTATTTAGGGGTGTTTTGGGGCTATTTTGGGGTGTTTTGGGGGGTGTTTTGGGGCTATTTGGGGGTGTTTTGGGGTGTTTTAAGGGTATTTAGGGGTGTTTTCGGGCTATTTTTGGTGTTTTGGGGTATTTTAAGGGTATTTTTGGGTGGTTTGGGGCTATTTTGGGGTGTTTTAAGGGTATTTAGGGGTGTTTTGGGGCTATTTTGGGGTGTTTTAAGGGTGTTTTGGGGCTATTTTGTGGTGTTTTAAGGGTATTTAGGGGTGTTTTGGGGCTATTTTGTGGTGTTTTGGGGTGTTTTAAGGGTATTTTTGGGTGGTTTGGGGCTATTTAGGGGTGTTTTGGGGCTATTTGGGGGTGTTTTGGTGTGTTTTAAGGGTATTTTGGGGTGTTTTGCGGCTATTTTGTTGTGTTTTGGGTGGGTTTTGGTGACGGGGGTGTCGGGGCCGCAGGTGGGGGGGGCCATGGGGCGCTTGTGCCGGTGCCGGGGTCGCAGACGGGGTCAAGGTCGGGGTCAGCGGCGGCAGCGCCAGAAGCCCTGCGGGTGCCCCTGCAAGGTACGGCCCCGAATTCGGGCGTTTGGGGGGAATTTGGGTGTTTTGGGCGTGAATTTTGGCGTTTTGGGGGTGAATTTGGGTGTTTTGGGGTGAATTTGGGCGTTTTGGGGTGAATTTGGGTGTTTTGGGGGTGAATTTGGGCAGTTTGGGGTGAATTTGGGTGTTTTGGGGTGAATTTGGGCAGTTTGGGGGGAATTTGGGTGTTTTGGGGGTGAATTTGGGTGTTTTGGGGGTGAATTTGGGCAGTTTGGGGGGAATTTGGGCGTTTTCAGGTAAATTTGGTTTTTTTGGGGGGTGAATTTTAGCAGTTTTGGGGTAAATTTGGGCGTGTTGGGATGAAATTGGGCATTTAGGAGGTGAAGTTTTGAGGTTTTGGGGTGAATTTGGGCATTTTGAGGTGAATTTGGGAGTTTTGAGCGTGAAATTGGGCATTTTGGGGGTAAACTTGGGCGGTTTGGGGTGAATTTGGCTGTTTTCAGGTAAATTTGGGCAGTTTGGAGGTGAAATTGGGCATTTTGCGGGTGAATTTCAGTGGTTTTGGGGTGAATTTGGGCATTTTGAGGTAAATTTGGGCAGTTTTGGGGTGAATTTGGGCAGTTTTGGGGTGAATTTGGGCATGTTGAGGTAAATTTGGGAGTTTTGAGCGTGAAATTGGGCATTTTGGGGGTAAATTTGGGTGGTTTAGGGTGAATTTGGCTGTTTTCAGGTAAAT